ACAAGAGCGAAACTCCATCTCAAAAAAAAAAAAAAAAAAACGCATAGAGCTTTACTAATTCTTATTAACTGTCAGCCTGAAAGATAGAATTGTTTAACTTTTTATTATGGAAATCTGTAAACATATATAAATATAAACAGAAGTATACTGAACCCATATATTCCCATCACCAATTTTGTAATTACTAATCTGTTTTCATATAAATCTCTGCCTTTTCGCCCTCCAATATTAGTTTGAAATAAATCCCAGGTATCATAGTATTTCATACTTCATATTATAGTATTTCATACTTCAAAAAAAAAATACTTCAAAAATACAGCAGTAACTTAATGGTTTCACACTAATAGCCTTTAATTTTTGTCAATAGTTTGTTAAACTATGTCGGAACGTGTTCTGTTGTTTCCTCTATTCTTAGTACTTTTTTTTTTTCTTCTTTTCTTTTTTGAGACAGAGTCTCGCTCTGTCGCCCAGGCTGGAGTGCACTGGTGCAATCTCAGCTCACTGCAGCCTCTGCCTCCCGGGTTCAAGTGATTCTCCTCTCAGCCTCCCGAGTGGCTGGGACTACAGGTGCCCGCCACCACACCCAGCTAATTTTTTATATTTTTTAGTAGAGACGGGTTTTTACCATGTTAGCCAGAATGGTCTCAATCTCCTGACCTTGTGATCTACCCACCTCGGCCTCCCAGAGTGCTGGGATTACAGGTGTGAGCTACCTCGCCTGGCCTTTCCTGGCTTTTAAAAATCGGTATTACTGTCATAAACATAACATCATTTTTATGTAATAAAGTAATTATAATTGTCAGTGAAAACAGTTGTTAGTTACATTTGACTTTTACTGCTAACCAATTTAAAATAATTTTCTTCATTTTTAAAAATCAGTATCATTGATATAAACAGTGATTTTTGCATAATACTTACTTATAATTCACAGAGAAAATAGATTTTACTTTTACTGCTAACCAATTTGAAAAATAATTTTTGTTTTTAAAAATCGGTGTTACTGCCATAAACAAAGTTATTTTTATGCAATAAAGTATTTACTTAAAATTTACAGAGAAAATAGTTGCATTAGATTTTACTTTTACTGTTAACCACTTTGAAAAATAATTTTATTTCAATAAATTTGTGGCCGGACATGGTGGCTCACACCTGTAATCCCAGCACTTTGGGAGGCTGAGACAGGCAGATCACGAGGTCAGGAGATCAAGACCATCCTGGCTAACACAGTGAAACCCCATCTCTACTAAAAATACAAAAAAATTAGCCGGGCATGGTGGTGGGCGCCTGTACTCCCAGCTACTCGGGAGGCTGAGGCAAGAGAATGGCATGAACCTGGGAGGTGGAGCTTGCAGTGAGCCAAGATCACGCCACTGCACTCCAGCCTGGGCGACAGATCGAGACTCCATCTCAAAAATAAATAAATAAATAAATTTGTTTATTTTAACAAATAAACTGTTCGTTCAACGGACCATTCATTCACATCATCTTTTTTTTTTTTAAGATGGAGTCTTGCTCTGTTGCCCAGGCTGAAGTGCAGTGGTGCGATCTCGGCTCACAGCAAGCTCTGTCTCCTGGGTTTACACCATTCTCCTGCCTCAGCCTCTTGAGTAGCTGGGACTACAGGCGCCTGCCACCACGCCCGGCTAATTTTTTGTATTTTTAGTAGAGATGGGGTTTCACTGTGTTAGCCAGGGTGATCTCAATCTCTTGACCTCATGATCCACCCACCTCGGGCTTCCAAAGTGCTGGGATTACAGGCATGAGCCACCACGTCCGGCCCATTCAAGAATCTTTATAGTCATCCTCCTCTCATTATGCTGTGTTTTTGGATTTGTTTTTTCCATAGCTCTTCAGTAGGTTACCTGCAACATCCAGGATCAGAACAAGTACAGTTTCCTCGAACCACTTCACCATGCAATTCCCAGCAGCTTCAAGGCCACCAATGTACAGGTATGAAGAAATCAGTGAAAATAAGATAATGGTTGGTTCATACAAGAAGTAGTTTGATTAATTTCCTTAGGCATTTCTACAAAAAGGTTCTCAATTTGTGATGTGGTGAGATACACCCACAATTTTGAGGGTGCTGTACTGAATCAGGGTTAATGTGCAGTCCACTTCTTTCTTTCCTTCTGCTGCTGCTATCACTACCATCCTGATTCTCCTTTCTCAGAAGTATTGATATTCTCTAGGGTTATTTCCTATGCCTTCTCTCATTACTCTTCCAGCTGTTGTTTACTCCAACTTATCTTTAGGATAAGTGAGATGTTTAGGCCTACAGAGTCCATCGTAACTGTTTAAACACACAATACTTGTAGTATGATGCACTAGGGCTTCAACCTGGTTTTCTTAGTTAATAGTAAAATTTTATTCAGAAATGTAAAATTACTACTGTTATCCTAGTGTTCAGAAACACCAACTAGTGGCTAAAATATACTGACTAGCATCCTAATTCTGATTTTCAGCTGGGCCACCACCGCCACCTGGTGGTGGGATGGTGATGATGCAGCTCAGTGTACCAAACAATCCACAATCTTGTGCCCACTCACCCCCACAGTGGAAACAAAACAAATACTACTGTGATCACCAGAGAGGACAGAAGTGTGTAGAGTTTAGCAGTGTAGACAATATCGTCCAGGTAAGATGGTTTTGCTCATTATCATTTTGAAACGTTACATTTTTGTTACATAAGATTGACTTGCAAGGCTTGAATTTGAAATCCTGTCAGCCAGATTAATAAAAGAATTTGGGCTGGGTGCGGTGGCGCTCTTCTGTAATCCCAGCACTTTTTGGGAGGCTACGGCATGGGGATCACCTGAGGTCAGGAGTTTCAGACCAGCCTGGCCAACATGGTGAAATCCCATCTCTACTAAAAATACAAAATCAGCTGGGTGTGGTGGTAGCATGCATCCCAGCTACTTGGGGGGCTGAGGGAGGAGAATCACTTGAACCCAGCGGGGCAGAGGTTATAGTGAGCAAAGATCATGCCATTGCTCTCCAGCCTGGGCAACTAAGAGTGTAACTGTGTCTCAAAAAAAAAGGAAGAAGAAGAAGAAAAAGAATCAGTATTTATTTAAGTATTATTTGCTAACTTCTGGGTGTTCAAAAAAATTTTTTTTAACTTCAAAAGATAAACTAGATCTAAAATTTGGTAAAGGAAAACAAGCATTTAGCCTACCTTTCCCATATGACTATATATTAATGTAACCAAATAGTTGATAAGGGAATTTTCTCTGGAGAATAATCCAGTTAATAAATGCAGAAGCAATGGTAGAATTAGAAAATTGCCAGAAAATCATCAGCAGACCCTAAAAATATTAGATTAAAAAGTTTTGGTTGAGAAACTGCTCACTTAAAAAAAAAAGTTTTGAGGGGTATTTTAAATGGATGAATTAGACAGACAGCCCTGAATCCACTGATCAGTTGTAACATCACTAAAAGTGGGCCAGCCAAACATTATTTACCTCGTAATGTGGCACAGAAGGAAGTACACAGCATTATTTATGATATACTCTTACCAAAATTTGAACCTGAATCTATTGAAGCCTCTAACCCTAGCTACTAGTTTATGGGAAATATAAGAAACAAAAACAAATTACCTGATCCCAGTAGGGTATTTTACTTGACAAATTGGCCCTGTTACTTTAATAGATGGCATTTTGAAATAGGAGCTTGGTCTGTTATACATTAAAAGAGACTCAAGAGGTATAATATCTGATGTGATATATGGATCTTATTTGGATATGGAATGATCCAAAGATATTGTTTAAGGCCGGGCCCGGTGGCTTATGCCTGTAATCCCGGCACTTTGGGAAGCTAAAGCAGGCCTGGAACACAGGAGTTCGAGACCAGGGTGGGTAACATGGTGAAACCCCATCTCTATGAAAAATACAAAAAGTATTCAGCCATGGCAGTGTGCACCTGTAGTCTCAGCCACTCAGGAGGCTGAGGCAAGATTGCTTTAGCTCAAGAGTTCAAGGCTGCAGTGAGCTATGATCATGCCACTGCACTCCCCCCAGCAACAGAGGGAGACCCTAACTCTTAAAAAAAAAAAGAAAAAAAAAAGACCCAGCCACAGTGGCTCACGCCTGTAATCCCAGCACTTTGGGAGGCCAAGGCGGGCAGATCACCTGAGGTCAGGAGTTTGAGACCAGCCTGGCCAACATGGAGAAACCCCATCTCTACTAAAAATACAAAAATTAGCCAGACATGGTGGCATATGCCTGTAATCCCAGCTACTCAGGAAGCTGAGGAAGGAGAATCGCTTGAACCCAGGAGGCGGAGGTTGCGGTGTTCCGAGATCATGCCATTGCACTCCAGCCTGGGTAACAGAGCGAGACTCTGTCTAAAATTTAAAAAAAAAAAAAAGTTGTCCATTAGATACAAATGTTTGTATACTGAAGTATTTACAAGTAAAATGCTGAGATTTGCTTTAAATACTTCAGGAAAAACAAAGCAGGGGTGATGACAGTTGAACCTGAATGATGGGTACATGGAATTTCATTATGCTTTTCTATCTATACTTTTATATACTTGAAATTTTATAGAATTAAAAGGTTTTATCTTTTGTCGAGACAAGGTTACATTCTGACACCCAGGCTGGATTGCGTTTGCACAATCATGACTTACTGCAGCCTCAACCACCTGGGCTCAAGCAGTGTTTTCACCTTAGCTTCCCAAGTAGCTGGGACTACAGGTACACACCACACCCAGCTAATTTTTCATTTAGAGACAGAGTCTGGCTCTGTTACCTAGGCTGGAGTACAGTGACATGATCTGGGCCTACTGCAACTTCCATCTCCTGGGCTCAAGCCGTCCTCCCACCTCAGCCACTTGAGTAGCTGAGACCACTGATGCACACCACTATGCCCAACTAATTTTTTTTTTTTTTTTTTTTGTATTTTTTGTAGAGACAGGTTATTGCCATGTTGCCCAGGCTGGTCTTGAACTCCTGAACTGAAGCGGTCCACCTGGCTCAGCCTCCCAAAGTGTTGGGATCATAGCCTTGAGCCGCTTTACCCAGCCAGGTTTTAACTTTTTTTTGAAGATAGAGGTTGGGCATAGTGGCTCACACCTGTAATCTCAGCACTTTGGGAGGCCAAGGAGAAAGGATCACTTGAGTCCAGGAGTTCAAGAGCAGCCTAGACAAACAACATAGTGAGATCCCATCTCTGTAAAAAAATTAAAAATTAGCCAGGTGTGGTGGTGTACACCTGTAATTCTAGCTACTCGGGAGGCTGAAGCAAGAGGATTACTTGACCCTGAGTGGTAGAGGCTGCAGTGAACTGTGATCACACTACCGTACTCCAGCCTAGGTGACAAAGTGAGACCCTGTCTCAAAAAAAAAAAAAAAAATGGGGGACAAACGTTATTATAGGTCAGCTCACAAACTATCGATGGCCATTAAACAGATGAAAATATAAAACTACTTTTCATCTATATAAGTGGGAAAATTCAGGAAGACCAGTAATCTGCCATAGTAATAGTTTGGCAAAGATCAAGTTATAAGCTCTCTTGGACTTTCTCTGTGGTAGTGTAAATTGGTACAGCTCTTTGGAATGCACTTCGGAGACATTTTTCAAAATGTAGAATTTGATCCACAGATATGCTTCTGGAACTTTATCCAGTAAAAATTATATAATAAGTGCAAAAATATGTGTCCAATATTTCTTTTTTCCTTGTTGTAATATTGAAAAACTGTAAACAGTCTTGACATTCATCAGTGTGTAACTGATTATTCCTGTGCAATTTAGGAAAATGCCCTTGAGTGTGTGGTACTGAAAAGAACAAGATACACCTACTATTGAGATGGTAGTTTCTAAATAACCAGTCTCCATTAAAAGGAACGTGGGCCCCTTAGAAAAATAACTGCTGCCAGAGTTGGTGCAGGGAAAGTACCAGATGAGCATAGGCCATCTTGGCTGTGCCAGAAAGTAAGGAAGGGATGGAAGAAAAATAGGGACATGTTGAAGAATACAGGATCAGGAGTGGAGGTTTGGGGCATAAAACAGTGATAGAAATGAATGATCATCCATAGAATAAAATAAGAATTCATGAGTCCATACTGATAAAATCAATAAATAGAAAATGAAACTCTGTCTTACCTTAGTGTAATGTAAAGTGATAAATATAGAAGGAATCGTGAAATTAGAAGATCACCACCAAGAAACCATCAGGCAAGAGTCACCACTAGAGGTTACACAACTAGTGGGTGAAATTCTGATGAAAAGCAGAATTTTTTTTAAAGTATCTCCCTACAAAATACTTAGAACTACAAATTAAAAGAATTGTCATTTACAGTGGAGAAACCTGATAGGCACCACATTCACAAAGCAGCCGAAGTAAATATCACCTGTACTGTGATGACAGATAGACAGTGGGTTCCTTCTGAAATGATCCATTGAGAGAAGGACACATTACTTCTCTGGTGTTCCTTCCGCAAATATATAACATGAACTTTTTAATGAGGAGACAGCAGACAAACCCAAATTGAGGGACAGACAGTCTACAAAATAACTGATCTTCCGAAACAAATCTTCAGAAATGTCAAAGTCATGAAAGAAAGAAGAGACTGTGGTATTCTGCTTCAGATTCAAGAAGATTAAAGAGCCATGACAACGCAGCCCTTGATTCTAGTCTGGATTCTGGACTTAAAGGGAAACATTTTTCTTATCTTTTGCTATAAGGGACATTAGTGGGACACTTGGCAAAATTTAAATTAACTGTAGATTAGATAATACTATTGTTAATGTTCTGGCTTTTATTATTCTATTTTGATTATATTTTAAAAGTCCTTGTTCTTGGGAAATAGACACTAATTATTTTGGGTTAAAGGAATATCATGTGAAATTCACTTTCAAACAGTTCCAAAAAGACACAGTGATATATATGTGTGTATGTGGGTGTGTATACACACACACACACACAGAGAAAGCAGTGTAATAAAAGTTAACATCATTTGGGAAATCTGGGAATTCTTTTATAATCTTAGGAACTATTCTCTAATGATGAAATTATTTAAATATGAAATGTTACAATATTTAATATGAAAAAAGAGTGAGTTAGCTGTATGTATTCTCTCATGCAAAAATATCGGCAATATTATTGCCCAGGTTAAAAAGTAAGTTTCGAAAGTAGGATGTATAGTCTGTTCCCATTTTTGTGAAAAATGAATGTATGAATGCATATGCATAGAAACAATCTGTTGGCCAGGAGCAGTGGCTCACGCCTGTAATCCCAGCACTTTGGGAGGCCGAGTCAGGCAGATCACGAGGTCAGGAGATAAAGACTATCCTGGCTAACACGGTGAAACCCCATCTCTATTAAAAATACAAAAAAAAAAATTAGCCAGGTGTGGTGGCGGGCACCTGTAGTCCCAGCTACAGGCTGGGACTGAGGCAAGAGGCTCAGGAGGCTGAGGCAGGAAAATGGTGTAAACCTGGGAGGCAGAGCTTGCAGTGAGCCGAGATCGCACCACTGCACTCCAGCCTGGGCAACAGAGTGAGACTCCGTCTCAAAACAAAAAAAAGGAAGAAAAAAAAAAAGAATCTGTTACCAGTGTTTATTTTTGGGAGTTGCAGATTACATATTTCTATAATGTTTGAATTATTTTCTAACAAGGACATGTTTGTAACCAGGAAGAATAAAAAATAAGCCTGCCCAAAATGCTGACCCATTTTCTTGACATATTGTAATTGCAGCACAGCCCTCAACTCAGTAGCCCCATTATTTCACCAGCTCAGTCGCCAGCACCAGCTCAGCTATCCACTCTGAAAACTGTACGTCCTTCTGGACCACCACTTTCCATCATGCCCCAATTTTCTAGACCTTTTGTCCCCGGGCAAGGTAAGTGTACATGAAACTAGTCACAACTTCAGAGAATTTAAGACATCCATTCCCAGTCACTTGGTAATTTATCTTGGTAATACTGCCTTTCTATTTTCCACAGAGCTGCATCTTCACCTACACTCAGGCATCTCTATTTGTGACCGTATACTCTCCTAACCTTAATGTATCATTGCTGTTTAATAATTATTAATTCAGTAATTACTTATATTTAGTAATTACATGATCACATTAAAATCGCTTTAACTTATTCTTAGAATCCATTCCTCTATAGTAACAATACACAGTTTTCTACATTTTTTTCGGTATTTTAATTTCTATGTTAGAGTAATATATATCAAAAGTTTATCCAGGCCGGGCGCAATGGCATACACCTGTAACCCCAGCACTTTAGGAGGCCAGTGCAGAAGGATCACTTGAGGCCACTCAAGACCCTGTCTCTAGAGAAACTACGAAAATCAGCCAGAAGTGGTGGCACATAACTGTAGTCACAGCTACTCAGGAGGCTGAAGCGGGAGGATCACTTGAGCCCAGGAATTCAAGACTTTGTGAGCTCTGATTATGCCACTGCATTCCAGCATGGACAGCAGAGCAAGACTGTGTCTCAAAAATAAAACAGAAAAAAGATTATACAAAAATTTATTCAGCAATCATTTATTAAGGAAATGGCTATGCCCTTGGTGTATAAAGATGAATAAGGAGAAGGCCTTACCCTCACTAACCCTTACTCTACTTGGGGGAGCAGATATGCAAGCAGATGATTATAAACCAATATGGAAATCATTTTATTTCCTAGAATTTATCCTAAGGATAATGCACACAGAGATTTATATGCAGAAGAGTTTATCCTATAGGAAAAAAATTTACAAACAACCTAACTCTGTTGATCAATAGGAATACTTAAATTATGGTATATTCATACAAGGAATATTATGTAGCTATCTAAAGAACCATTAAGAAGGGGCAATTATCAGGCTAGGCACGGTGGCTCACACCCATAATCCCAGCACTTTGGGAGGCCAAGGCAGGTGGATCACAAGGTTAGGAGTTCAACACCAGCCTGGCCAAGATAGTGAAACCCCGTCTCTACTAAAACTACAAAAATGAGCTGGACGCGGTGGCAGGCACCTATAATCCCAGCTACTTGGGAGGCTGAAGCAGGAGAATCGCTTGAACCTGGGCGGCAGAGGCTGCAGTGAGCCGAGATCGTGCCATTGCACTCTAGCCTGGGCAACAGAGAGAGGCTCTGTCTCAAAAAAAAAAAAGGCGGGGGGAGCAATATTCACAATATGGTGAGTGATTTTGAAAAACAAGTTACACAGACATTTTGAAGTAGTATGCAGATGTCTAATAAGCCATTGAAAAGATATTTAACATCAGTCATTATAGAAATGAATATTCAAGCCAGAATATCACTTCACACCCGTTAGAATGGCTATAATCAAAAAGACGGACAACACCAAATGTTGGTAAAGAATGTTCTCACTTGCCAGGCATGGTGGCTCACGCCTCAGCACTTTGGGAGGCTGAGGTATGTAGATCACTTGAGGTCAGGAGTTCAAGACCAACCTGGCCAACATAGTGAACTCCCATCTCTACTAAAAATACAAAAATTAGCCGGGCATGGTGGCACATGCCTGTAATCCCAGCTACTTGAGAGGCTAAGGCAGGAGAATTGCTTGAACCCGGGAGGCGGAGGTTGCAGTCAGCCAAGATCGCACCACTGCAGTGCAGCCTGGGCGACAAGATTGACACTTCATCTCAAAAAAAAAAAAAAGAAGAATGTTCTCACTTGTAAGTGGGAGCTAAACATTGATGGACACTAAGAAGGGAACAATAGACACTTGGGCCTACTTGAGGGGGAAGGGTGAGGATTGAAAAGTACCTATTGTGTACTGTGCTTATTACCTGGGTGACAAAATAATAAGTACACCAAACCCCCACGGCATGCAAAATCCACATGTGAATATTTAACAAACATGTTGGTAAAGACACAGAGCTACTAAAATTCTCACACATTGGCGGTAAGAGTGTACAATAATGAAACCGCTTTGGGAAAAGGTGTGGTAGTTTCCTAAGACTTTAATCACTTACCATACAACCCAGCAATGCCACTCCTAGGGGAAAGAGAATTGAAAACATGGTCACACAGTCTTGTATACGAACATCTATAGCAACCTTATTTTATAATAGCTCAAACCGGACATGACCAACATGTCCATTAACAGGAGACTGGATAAACAAATTGTGCTACATCCTTAAAAGGGTACTACTCAACAATAACAGTGAACAAAGCAAGCTACTGACACACAACAACATGATGACTCTCCAGGTCACGATGTTAACGAAAAAATAAGACAAAAAGAGAATATATTCTATATGAAATTCAGCTGCAGACAAACTAATCTGTGACGTTAAATATCAGATAGTAGTAGAGATGGAGGGTGGAACTGACTGGGAAGCGGGCTGGAGGGAACTCTTCCAGGGATGAAAATGTTCTTTAAGGGGGATGGTATGGTTACACGGACTTTTACAATTGTTAGAATTCATCAAATTCAACACTTGGAATGTTTGTTTTATTGTATGTTAATTATATCTCAATTTCCTTAAAACCTTACACACACACATATGCATGAGTCAGCCCACACATGTAGAAGATTGAAAAGATAATACACCAAAATGTTAAAAGTGGTGGAATTACCAGGGTGGGTTTTGTTGTTGTTAGTTTGTTTGTTGTTGCTTGTTTGAGACACTGTCTTACTCCATCGCCCAGGCTGCAGTGCAGTGGTGCACTTGTGGCTCACTGCAGCCTTGACCTCCCCGGGTTCAGATGATCCTCCCACCTCAACCTCCTGAGTAACTGGGCTTACAGGCACGCCACCACACCTGGCTAATTTTTGTATTTTCGGTAGAGACAGGGTTTCACCATGTTGCCCAGGCTAGTCTTGAACTCCTTGGCTCAAGCAGTCTCCCCACCTTGGCCTCCCAAAGTGCTGAGATTACAAATGTCAGCCACCGCACCCAGCCCCGGGGTCATTTTTAGTTTCTCCTTTGTAATTCTCTATCTCCAAATTTTTTTTTTTTTTTTTTTTTTTTTTTTTGAGGCGGAGTCTCGCTCTGCCGCCCAGGTTGGAGTGCCATGGCCGGATCTCAGCTCACTGCAAGCTCCGCCTCCTGGGTTCACGCCATTCTCCGGCCTCAGCCTCCCGGAGGCTGGGACTACAGGTGCCCGCCACCTCGCCCGGCTAGTTTTTTGTATTTTTAGTAGAGACGGGGTTTCACCGTGTTAGCCAGGATGGTCTCGATCTCCTGACCTCGTGCTCCACCCGTCTCGGCCTCCCAAAGTGCTGGGATTACAGGCTTGAGCCACCGCGCCCAGCCTATCTCCAAATTTTCTACAAAACAAATTCCTTATTAAATTTAGAAAAAAGGCTAGGCGCGGTGGCTCACACCTGTAAACCCAGCACTTTGGGAGCCTGAGATGGGTGGAGCATGAGGTCAGGAGTTTGAGACCAGCCTGAAACATGGTGAAACCCCATCTCTATTAAAAATACAAAAAAAATTAGTCGGGCATGGTAGCGCGTTCCTGTAATCCCAGCTACGCTTAAACCCTGGAAGTGGAGGTTGCAGTGAGCCAAGATCGTGCCATTGCACTCCAGCCTGGGTGCCAGAGCAAGACTCCATCTCTAAATAAATTAATTGATCAATTAATTAATTTAGAAATTGCATATTTTAAAAAGATAAATTGAAACAGTACGCATCATACAGTCTGGTATGAATGCTGCAAGAGGAACACCTAGCCCAACCTATTAGGAGGGGTCTTTGTACTGCTGACTGTAATCTTATCTCCATATATGAAAAAAATTAGCTGGGCGTGGTGGTGGGCACCTGTAATCCCAGCTACTCGGGAGGCTGAGGCAGGAGAATCACTTGAACCTGGGAGGCAGAGGTTGCAGTGAGCAGAGTTGGTGCCACTGCACTCCAGCCTGGGTGACACAGAAAGACTCTGTCTCAAAAAAAAAAGGAGTTATCCATTAGATACAAATGTTTGTATACTGAAATCTTTACAAGGAAAATGCTGAGATTTGCTTTAAATACTTCAGGAAAAACAAAGCAGGGGCGATCACAGTTGAACCTGGATGACGGCGGGTACATTATGCTTTTCTATCTATACTTTTATATACTTGAAATTCTATAGAATTAAAAGGTTTTTATCTTTTGTTGAAAAATTGTAGGTGTCTTTATCTAGAGGATTCCAGAATTTTTACACAGCTTTCTCTGTTAATGCTATCAACATTAAACAGCTATTCTGTTAATGCTAAGTTTTTGAGCCTCATTAAATTTTTTAAATTTCATTATTGTAGCACTTAACTCTGACTTCTTCACAACTATTTTCTTTTTTCTTTTTTTTTTTTTTTGAGACGGAGTCTCACCCTGTTGCCCAGGCTGGAATGCAATGATGCGATCTTGGCTCACTGCAACCTCCACCTCCCAGGTTCAAGCTATTCTCCTGCCTCAGCCTCCCAAGTAGATGGGATTACAGGCACGCACCACCATGCCCAGCTAATTTTTTGTGTTTTTGGTAGAGACGGGGTTTCGCCATGTTGGCCAGGCTGATCTCGAACTCTGACCTCATAATCCACCCGTCTCGGCCTCCCAAAGTGCTAGGATTACAGGCGTGAGTCACTGCGCCTGGCCTTCACAACTATTTTTTATACACCTTCACATGTCACTTGGCATCTCTGATCTCAGTGTCAAAACCCCATGTCATATCTGCCCTTCCATCTATAGGTTGGGAAAGAGCGAGTGTGTCATGCATATGTCCTGCCAGGGAGCTGCCCAGGCATCTTCACTGTGTTCACCCGGAAGGAGCCCTGTGGAATGGCAAGAAGTCCACACCTTGCTTCTTTCTGTTATGAAGCTCTCAGGAGAAAGGGTGCACAATTTCCTGAGGATGCTTTCCTAGCACCTACTGATAACCCTCCTCCAAACACAAAATGTACTAAATTTGAGAACTTATGATTATAAAATAAATGAAAATTTAACACAAAAATCTTATTCTCCAAGGCAAAGTTTTTGCAGTCAGCAGTTATTAAGCCTTTGCTGTGTGATGACTTTTGGCTTTCCTGAGTGAAAGAAAGCAATTGGAAGATCTCCATCCTCACTAACCCACACTTACTGATTTAGGAAGGGGATACTTATGAATAATGACACTTAAGAACTACACAACTTTTTCTAAACAGGTTCAAATTATAAATGCAAATTTCACTTAAAGATTAAGAAGAGCAGACTTAAGACCTAGGATGTACAATTACCCATTGGTTAAAACTATTAAAGTGTGTTTGAGTATATGTAAATGTGTACATGCATATATTATATGCATAAATTTATAGCAATTAATAGTGAATTGGGGGAGATAAAGACTTAATGTTTATCCAGAGTTCCTTCCTCTGAAAGGTAAGATTTTAATCATAATAGAATGATGTAGATTTCAGCACCTCAAGTGATTGGCATGTGTGTTGTAGTTATTTTGGTGTATTTCATATGGGATGTTAGGATTTAGTGTCATAATTTTCTTAGATTCTTCCTCTTCCATATCTTCAAAGTGTACAGAGAAGTTTCTCTCCATCCTATCTCTATTCATGTAGTTCCTACCATGCACCCTGCTTCCTAACCACTGTTATTAGTCCTTAATCTTTTCAGAATTTTGCCTGGGCTCTTAAAAGGATATGTGGAAATTTTTAATTCTTGTTTAAAATGTCATTTAGCCAAGCATGGTGGATTGTACCTGTAATCCCAGCAACTCATGAGGTGGCAGGATTGCTGGAGGCCAGGAGTTTGAGACCAGCCTGGTCAACATAGTGAGAATCTATCTCTCCTAAAATAAAATTAGCCAGGTGTGGTAGTTTGTGCTTATAGTCCCAGCTACTTGTGAAGCTGAGGCAGGAGGATCACTTGAACCCAGGAGTTCAAGGCTGCAGTGAGCTATGATTGCACCACTGTACTCCAGCCTGGGTTGTCGACAGAGCAGTACCCTGTCTCCAAAAGAAAAATGTCAGTTATCTAAACTTTTTTTATGCTACCATACTTGTTTCTTTCCCCTGTTCATCTTATTTTGAACAATTAGAAGACTCTGGCAAGTACTTTTTTATTTTTATTTTTATTTTATTTATTTATTTTTTTTTTTGAGACAGTCACTCCATCACCCAGGCTGGAATATAGTGGCACCATCTCGGCTCACTGCAACCTCTACCTCCCAAGTTCAAGCAGTTCTCATGCCTCAGCCTCCTGAGTAGCTGGAATTATAGGCATCTACCAGCACGCCCCAGGCTAATTTTTGTATTTTTATTAGAGATGGGGTTTCACCATGTTGGCCAGGCTGGTTTCGAACTCCTCCTGGCCTTAAGTAATCCACCTGCCTCAGCCTCCCAAAGTGCTAGGATTACAGGCATGAACCACCATGCCAGCGTCTGGCAAGCATTTTTTAACTGAGGAAAGAAAAAATGTAAATATATTTTATTGACTTTCAGGAGATTCCAGGTATCCATTACTTGGCCAGCCGCTGCAGTACAACCCTCCTGCTGTTCTGCACAGACACATTCCAAACCAACAGGTATAAAAGACAACTAACCTCCTAGACTTAGTTGCAGAACATCATAGCTCCCTCAGAGTGTAAGGGGCAACCCTGAGCCCACCTGTTGGCACTGCCCAAGGAGAGCTGTGTGCCTCGGCCAGTTGATTTACACAGATTATCACTGGCTCCATCAGGAGCAGAGCAAGGGAGAAGATGGCATGCTGCTTGGCAGAACAGTAATTCCCTAGTGCCACCCAAAGGCAAGGCAGTGGCTAGGAATTGGGGCACTCTTGCTAATGAAGGACTGTCAGCAAGTGATTGGTCATAATGGACAGGAATGTCACTGCCACAGAAGCAGAATTCAGAAGGCCTGGGACTGATTTTCTTCTGCCAGAGTGCAAAACCCAAACTAAAGGTGTTTGGGTGTTAAGTTTTTAAACATCCAAAGTGTGTTTTTCAGCATTATTAACCTTGTTTCTCAACTATTTTTGGGTTTTCAGGGTCAGCCTGGCAGCAGGCATGGAAACCGAGGAAGGAGACAAGCTAAAAAAGCTGCATCCACCGACCTTGGAGCAGGAGAAACAGGTATGTCTCTGAGGGGCAACTGGATATGGGTCTACAAACCGGTGACAGTCTTTAAGAATACACCACAGCACAGAAATGGGTTTTCCTCTTCCTAGAATCCTGCAAAAAGTCATAATAATTGTTGCCGTCTGATTTAGGATTCTTGGATATACTCCTATGACCCTGTGTCATTTGAGATATGAGAGTATATATGGTAAGATGCAGGTAGGTTTAGGAGGGACAGAGGGGCCAAAGAGAAATGTGTGAGAGGAACAAGTAGAGTGAAACTCTTAGCCTCTTAGTTCTTTGAGAAAGGGTTTGTCCTTACATCCATGTGGGAGAGAGTCTGAGTGAACAAATATATTGCCTCTCTGTGGTAAAGTGCCTTCAAGTTTGTACTTTAACTTTCTACTCAGCAGCCTTGTGGTGTGGTTAGGGCAAGTGCTTTTATTTTATTTTACAATGGAAATGTGAAGTTCAGAAAAATGTTTGAGATCACCTAATTTAGAGAAGCCACCATACAATGCTTCTTTTTATTTGTGCAACTACCAGTAAAGACTGACATCAGTAGCTTAATTTTACTTTATTTATTTATTATTTTTGAGATGGAGTTTCATTCTTGTTGCCCATGCTGGAGCACAGTGCTATGGTCTCAGCTCACTGCAACCTCTACCTCCCACGTTCAAGCATTCTCCTGCCTCAGCCTCCGAATAGCAGGGATTACAGTCGCCCACAACCACGCCCGGCTAATTTTTTGTGTTTTTATTAGAGACGGGGTTTCACCATGTTGGTCAGGCTGGTCTCAAACTCCAGACCTCAGGTGATCCGCCCACATCAGCCTCCCAAAGTGCTAGGATTACAGGCACACCCAGCTCAGTAGCTTTAACACTATTAGCTCTCTACCCCTTGCCTACGGGGTAAGTAGGAATGATTTAAAAGATGGATGTCCCTGGCTGGGTGCACTGCCTCATGCCTGTAATCCTAGCACTTTGGGAGGCTGAGGTAGGTGGATTGCCTGAGCTCAGGAGTCCGAGACCAGCCTGGCCAACATGGTGAAACCCCATCCGTCTCTACGGAAAACACAAAAAATCAGCTGAGCATGGTGGCGGGCGCCTGTCATCCCAGCTATGTGGGAGGCTGAGGCAGGAGAATCGTTTGAACCTGCGAGGTGGAGGTTGCAGTGAGCCAAGATCACACCACTGCACTCCAGCCTGGGCAACAGAGTAAGACTCCATCTCCCAAAAAAAAAAAAACAGATAGTCCTAAAAGTTTTAATTTTGTGTATTCACATGGTCATTTCCCATGTCATATTTGAGTCTGCAGTGCTTTTTTACCCAACTTTTTTGGTAACAGGGATGTGTTACTTCTGTACCTTTTCTATTCTAGTTGTTGGGAAGGTCTTGGAAATTACTGAACTACCAGATGGAATAACTCGCATGGAAGCTGAAAAGCTTTTTGGGGAACTCTTTAAAATTGGCGCCAAGATCCGGTGGCTCCGGGACCCCCAGTCGCAACCACGTCGTCACCCCCTCTGCTGTGGCAGCGGGGACAACACTGTCAACCCTGAACGCTCTAAACCCAGTGACTTGGCCTCCACCTACACCGTCTTAGCCACATTCCCCTCCATTTCAGCTGCACAGAATGCATTGAAGAAACAAATTAACTCAGTTAACAAGTTTAAGCTGAGAACAAGCAAGAAGCACTATGACTTTCACATTTTGGAAAGGGCAAGTTCTCAGTAACAGCCACCTTTGGACCCTTCGCCTTTATGGTTCCCCTGCCCTCTCCCATCTTTGATTGGCTTGGTGTTTGGAGCTTCTGTTAACATTATAGAGACTCCTAGGATGTGTGTTCATGGCGTTATAGCTTTTGAAGAAAGGCCAGTGATCCAGCAAAGGGGGAAAATATATGCATTTCACCCCACATGACTGTAGGAATCCACGTCAGAATGATACAGAGTTAGCAGGTTTTTCTAAGGAAATGCCGTTCAAATGCCTCCTAACTTTTATAGTTATTTTGTTTTATATTTCTAAATTCTTGTATCAGATCCAAAGCTCTATTGTACAGCAAAGTATTCTTCAAAATGATTGTAACCAGTTGCAACCTGTATTTCTTTTTGCAGCCAGCACAATGTGACCCAACTTAAAATTTGGGGGAAAAAGAATGCAGGAGTGAAATAACCAAGTCAAAACCATGTACTATCTCCTTGGGGGTTAGGGATGCTAAGAAGAGCCCACAAATAGAGGATTACTCTTCCCCCGAATCTCTAAACTCAGAAACAATTGCCAAAAAATACATAACTCTTCCCTGTAGGACCCTTTCCTTATTCATTTAGGTAGTGTGAACATTAAGTATAAAATAAATTATGTTCTTAATGCCTCTTAAACCACTTACATTCAGAGGGGAACAGAAATCATTCTAAGCAGGAAAATACTTCCATTTTTTTTTTTTCAAGTATCTCTCTAATAACTAAATGCCACTTATTTGCATTCCCCTCCTTGTGGATTTTTTGTCACCTAAGGAAATGCATTTGATGAGTGCTGGAAACTTCTTAAGTGCTTTACAGTTTGTTTTCATTGTTTGCAGCGGATCACTGGACATCAAAGATTCATTGCACTTATGAACAAGGAACCTTCTTTTCAATTTCTGTGTAATTTGCAAGGCTGTACAATGTGTGCTGATGCAAGCCTTTTTCAGTTCAAGAGAATAAATGTTTACAAATATAGGCTCACTTTGTCTTTTTTTTAATTAAAAGCACCTTCTAAATGAGTGTCAGCTTTGAAGACAGTAACCTTTTTGGAAGATTTAAGTCAATTTCAAGCTTACAGAAGATGAAAAACAGTAAACCACCTCATTTTACAAATGTCCCAAACATCCCTTTCTCTGTGGCAGTGATTCCTGGTGGATATGATTCTTGTTACTGTATTCTCTATCATAAAGTTATTACAAACTATAGAAATTTAGAGTATGAACATACTTTATTGTCAGGCAACTAAAAATAGAAGATTATGTTTGGTGAGATAAATTTGTTTTTAGCTTATATATTGCACACCCAATTGTCCACTTAGACTCAAATGCTTTTTAGACATCTTTTCCCTTTGGTAAGCCAAGCAAAGTCACCCTGTTGGGAAATCAAAAAGTTAGGGGTCTGCCAGCTGCCGCTTGCCTGAAACCTGGTTATCTTCCAGCCCAGACTAGGGCTTTTACTATGAAATTGAAGAGCACTAAGTGTCACCAGACTCTGGTGCAGATATGCACTCACTTTAGCACATTTGCAAGGTCCCACTGGTCCCAGAGAATGCCAGGCTTCCCCACCAACTAGCATATCCCAATTGTGAATATTGTACTCCTGGGATCAAAAATTGGAGCTTAGAACCATTTTAGATTAAGGAGCCATAGTCGGGGGAAAGAGTAAGAGCGTGAGGTCTGTGAAAATCTCTTGCTTCCAAGTCTTGTTCAATTTTAATTATTTTTGACCTGCAGAGAATCAAAGATGGAGAGGACACATAAGTAAGGCTAGCATTTCAGCAACAATTCTTCAATCATACATGGGGATGGAGACCAAAAAAGTCACAACCTCCCATCCTGGCCAACATGTGAAATGCTGTCTCTACTAAAATACAAAAAATTAGCTGGGCATGGTGGTACACACCTGTAATCCCAGCTACTGGGAAGGCTGAGGCAGGGGAATTGCTTGAACCCGGGAGGCGGAGGTTGCAGTGAGCCGAGATCGTGTCACTGCACTCCAGCCTGGTGACAGAGCAAGACTTCTCAAAAAAAAAAGAAGAAGAAGTCACAACCTCATGGTTTCTTGCAATTATTATTATTATTTTTTTTTTTTTTTTTTTAGACCGGAGCCACTCTGTCACCCAGGCTGGAGTACAGTGGCACAATCCCGGCTCATTGCAACCTCAGACTCCTGGGTTCAAGCAGTTCTTCCTCAGCCTCTCAAGTAGCCGGGATTACAGGCACCTGCCACCATGCCCCACTAATTTTTGTATTTTTAGCAGAAACAGGGTTTCACCATATTGGCCATGCTGATCTCGAACTCCTGATCTCAGGTGATCCACCCGCCTTGGCCTCCCAAAGTGCTGGGATTACAGACGTGAGCCACCCGACCTGGCCTGCAATTAATTTCTCTTGAATATTCCCTTTAGACTAGGCACGGTGGCTCATGCCTATAATCCCAGCACTTTGGGAGGCCAAGGTGGGCGGATCACTTGAGGTCAGGAGTTTGAAACCAGCTTTGCCAACATGGCGAAACCCCGTTTCTACTAAAAACACAAAAATTAACCACGTGTGGTGGTGGGTGCCTACACAATCCCAGCTGCTCGGGAGGCTGAGGGAGGAGAATCATTGAACCTGGGGAGCAGAAGTTGCAGTGAGCTGAGGTTGCACCACTTCATTCTAGCCTGGCCAGAAGAGCGAAACTCCATCTCAGAAAAAAAAAAAAAAAAAAAATTATCTTTAACTCCTGCAGTAGGAATTCTGGTAAACCAGTTTTTGCTTTAAACTCTTAGTTTACTTTGTAGGAGTTGAATACCGTGCAAAGTAAATAGGTAAGACACTACAGCTAAAAAAGATCAGAGGCTATTGTAGAGTTAACGCCTAGCCACCACCACATTCCCTGACAATCACATGGAAATAACAATGAAATTGCCAATCCCACCACCATTGCAAAAATATGCACACGTTCCCTAATCTGTACATTCCCCCCCCCTTTTTTTTTTTTTTTTGATTTTTATTTTAAGATGGAGTCTCACTCTGTCACCCTGGCTGGAAGGTAGAAGCACACACAGGAATGCCATTAGATGTGATTTGGTCTAGACTGGTAATCTCAAAGACAGCTTCAGATGTCCCACAGCCCTGGCAATAATCCATATCATGGGTTTTTCCAGACCACTAACCATTTTTAGGGGCGGATACTACTTTTACCAACAAAGTGTTATTCTTTCTTGTGCCAATGTTAGCAGCTCCAGCAGTCCTTTCTTTGGGAATGATAGAGGTCGGTTCATAACATTCTGTCTGTTTACGCTACTTAATATTAGAAAACAGAATATGGCTTATGGTTTGAAGCTCTTGGTTTGCAAAGAACATGGATATATTGGATATGTGTTTGTGATATAGAGTACAAGGTGTGTTTGCCATGGTGCCGCAGGTAATTAAAAATTATTAGATTGGCATCAGAGCTGGCAAGAAAATAGAGATGTGAGCCTTTCCCAAGCTAGGAAAATGTTATCCTGATCCCACTAGGGAGGATCTTATGGCCTATAAATAGTGCGGAAACACAGGCCTCTGAGTAGAACCCACAGTTCCGGATTAACTTGGGAAGAGTAAAGAAAGCATATCTGCAGCTACCTCAGGAAACAACTGAGTTGGATTCTCTACCTGTTATCAACAACAGAAAACATGCAAACTTAAGACTTCAGCAGAGGCAAGACCCCTAATCCCAGCCCACTGCCTGCCCAACAGATAATATGTTATCTATAGTCTTCAAAGGCTAAGGGCATGAGTTCCGTCTTCTAGGGCCCAGTGAAGTGCTAGCACAAAGGCATTATATACCATGTGGGATTCACAGCTGGCCCCTGGTTGCTTGGGATTCTACAAGCCTTTAATAGCTGGTGCTAAAAGAACCTGAGGCTCTTGCACACACATTCAGCCCATGACCTTCACCACCTTGAGAAACAGATACAGCTGCCCTTGAATCCACCCCCATGTCCACATATGCTCAGGCTACACAGTGCATATTTGTTCATTATTTTTCCCCTCAATGTCTCTATTTGTATTCATTTTGGTTTGATTTCACCCACATAAGAATACTGGAGGGCTGTAAAGAAAAGGCAGTGGGAACTTCTGAATCAGAAAGAAAAATGATAAATGTTTGTTCTTTGGGGGTTGGGGAAGAGGAAGCATTGAAATAGATACATTAAATAATTTTTTAATTAATTAATTATTTTTTGAGACAGAATCTTACTCTGTTGCCCAGGCTAGAATGCAATGGCTCAATCTCAGTTTATTACCTGCAGCTTCTGCCTCCCAGGTTCAAGCGATCGTCTTGCCTCAGCCTCCCGAGTAGCTGAGACTACAGGTGCATGCCACCACACCTGGCTAATTTTTTGTATTTTTAGTAGAGACGGGGTTTTACCATGTTGTCCAGGCTGGTCTCAAACTCCTGACTTCAGGTGATCTAGCCAGACTAGCTCATTTCTGCAAGTAATAAACTAATAATATCCTGTACTTCCTCTTCAAAGCATTTATCACAATGGTAATTACATAAGTAATTGGCCAATTAGTTGCTTACTGTTTTTCTACCTATCAGAATGTAATCTTTAGGACAGGGAAAATATCTAATGTAATAATTGCCACTTTTGATTTGGTTTATTCACCTGGATCTCTATGAGAAGCCAGAGAGGAGTGCCATCCTATCTTACATGTGAAAATTTGATTGTTGTGAGTGAAGCTTGGAAATTATTTATTTATTTAGAGATGGAGTCTTGCTCTTGTCACCCAGACTGGAGTGCAATGGCACGATCTCGGATCACTGCAACCTCTGCCTGCCCGGCTAATTTTTGTATTTTTAGTAGAGACGGGGTTTCTCCATGTTGGCCAGGCTGGTCTTAAATTCCTGACCTTGTGATCCACCCGCCTTGGCCTCCCAAAGTACTGGGATTACAGGCGTGAGCCACCACACCCGGCCCTGGAACCTATTTAAATGCTGCTTCTCTTCCTTTTTATTTTACGCGCACCCATGAACCTTATGTGGTAATTAACCTATTCTACTGGTCTACAGGTGAGTGATGTTGCTCTGTATACTCTATCGTATTTAGCTTTTTTTTTTTTTTTTTTTTTGAGACAGAGTTTTGCTGTGTTGCCCAGGCTGGAGTGCAATGGCACGATTTCGGCTCACTGCAACCTCCACCTCCTGGTTTCAAGTGATTCTCCTGCTACAGCCTCCTAAGTAGCTGGGATTACAGGCGCCTGCCACCACGACTAGCTAATTTTTTGAATTTTTAGCAGAGATGGAGTTTCACCATGTTGGCCAGGCTGGTCTCAAAACTCCTGACCTCAGGTGATCCACCCACCTTGGCCTCCCAAAGTGCTGGGATTACAGGCGTGAGCCATCGCACCTGGCCATATTTAGCATTTTTTACACTTCTCATTTTACTCAAGAAAAAGCAAGAACAGACAATAATATTTTTCCTTTACATGGTTTTTATACAACCAGCTTTGCAACATGTAAGTTATAAAGCCTTCTCTGGTGGTAAGCAGGTACAGGCTTCTGTGAGACAGAAAATGTTTTATTTTTTTTTAAAGCATGATGTGATACTTTATATTTCAAGGTGATGTTACCAATCCAGTTTCAGTAAGAAATGCCCTTTGATTTCTTTTGAATGACTACAGTTAAGAATTCAGTTTGTGGTAGGTTTTTCTCTGTGCAAATTGAAATAGAACCTTAGTAGTGGGAAACTTTTGGCCTCAATGACACTAGTAACTCATTCATTTGGCAAAAAATACAAGACACTGAAAATAGAAAGAAGACTGAGGCTGGGCGTGGTGGGTCACACCTGTAATGGCAACACCTTGGGAGACCAAGGCAGGTGGATCAACTGAGGTCAGGAGTTTGAGACCAGCCTGGCCATCATGGGAAAACCTTGTCTCTACTAAAAAAAAAAAAAAAAAAAAAAAATTTCCTGGTCATGGTGGTGCATGCCTGTAATCTCAGCTA